ACCCCCTGCCCTGGGTCGGGCACTGAGAGATAAACAAGCCTTTGGGGAGGGAACCAAGCAGCTGGTGACTGTCCTGCCTCGATTCCCCAAGGTACCACACGCTGAAAGCTTTGCACTTTCTGCTGGGACAGCAGGGGGGGCAGGAGGATGCCCCCGCACAGCTCTGTCCTGAGCCAGGACTGCAGTCGGAGGAGCCGAGCTCGGCCAGGCAGTGTGATGGGAACTGCTGACTGGGGGAGGCACTGGGGCTGCTTTGGAGGCCACCACTCTCTGCTCCCAGGGTGGTTTGGCCGGAGAGCCTGATGGAGCCAGATGTGCTGTGGTGGGAATTGGGGCTGCCCCTTCCCCCCCCAACCCTGCCACGAGTTGCCCAGCTCAGAGTCCAGCCGGTGTTGGATTCCCCCTCACTGTGGAGCCCCACAGGCAGCAGGAGGTGGGGAAGGACGTCCCAGTCCACCCGGGTGTGTGCCCAGCCCTTCTCTTACCTGGGAAGCAGAGCAGCAGGAGGAGGAGGATCCTCAGCTCCATGGCCGTCCTCAAGCCCAGGGAAAGGGCATTGCTGGGGGCTGCCCACCGTGTCCCGTTCAACAGCGTCTGCCCCGTGAGCCCTCCTGTGTCACAGCGACGCTGCTGGAGGAAGCGCCTGAGGTCTTGCTTTCCCACGGAAATCCTCGTCACATTTTGCTACAAGACCGATATTAAGATAATTTCAGGGTGCTACTGGGGAAGTGGCTGAAAGCAGAATTCGGCCTGTGCTGATGGCAAAGGCCCTTTGCTGCTCTTGCCTGCCCATCATCACACTCTGTCCTCACACTAGTGGCAGTCGGGCACAGACCTTTGCCCTGGTGTATCCCTCCTCTCTGAGCTCCCAGGGTGTCCTCCACTCAGCCCCTCGCTGGAAAGTCTCCTCAAAGCCCGGGTGGCCGTGCCTCCAGGGCTGTGCCTGCATGGACCCTCCCCCGAGCCGTGCCGGGCCCTTTGGGATCCCCTATCACCACCCCCACCACCCCCGGCAGTCCCCTTGTGCCCTGGGCTCTGCCATGCACAGAGCCCTCATGGTCCCTACCTCCAGAGTGCCCAGCTGGACAAACCAGACCAGAACCCTCTGGCTTTTGCACATTACATAGTAATGTCTCCACGGTCAC